ATCTCTTGCAAAAACTTCAAAAAGCGTGTTATTTTATTATTGGAACTTTTCAAATGAAATAAATCCACACAATCGTTGTCGTTGGAGTACATCACCTACAGAGCCTCTCAGCTATATAGCTTCTGAAAACTATGCAGATGTCATGTATTTCGACCTCGGCTTGAAAGTTCTAAAAAAATTTACTGTGTGGCATGGAGTGAATGGACTTGACCGAAATGCTGTCGCGCCGAGAGGATTCTGGTGTGGGAGAATTATCATAACTTGAAGGGTCCGTTGTTGGCCCAAATGTCCAATGTGTCCGAACTCCTCGAAAGCACTGGTTGTTCACCATAGCCTTGGTTATGTAAACTCATTCATGGGGGTATATGAGAGAATGCGAGCAGTGGATTTTCAGAAAACTTTAAGTCAAAAACCAATTGGGATCTCAGAAACCAGTGAGTCGGTGGATAGGTTCCTTAGTCAGTTGGTCTCAAGATCTATCTTCTGTTTATTGTAGAGGGCTTTTGATTTCTCACTACATAGTAACACCCGATTGTATATTGTGCAGACATTTGTTCAAACCTCTAAAAGGAAATGAGAGAAACAGCATTACAGTTCTGAAGGAGGGCATGGAAAATATAAAGAAAGTAATGGAATCACTCTGCTAATAATTCAAAAAAAAAGGTGGCCACAAGGTATCAGATGAACTACAGAACTATCACTTGCTAGTGTTGATCCTCTCCCCTCGAACAGAGGAGATGGGTTGCTATTTTTGCTGCAGTGTCAATATTATCGTCTTGGAAATTGATTAACAAAAAAGGTCATATGATTAGGAAATAGCGGCAATACCTGGTTATTATACCATTTCGTTGTACTTATCACTACAATATCGGCAACAGCCTGGGTTTTTTCGTCCTGTTCAGTTTTTATTGGCCAGTATTCCTGTAGTATGAATTTGTCAAATTATTTAAATCCTTAAAATCCAAAAAAATGTCAGCAGCTTGTCAAAGTGGATTCCTTACTTGATGTGAATTGTCAAATATCTGGTTGATTTGACTTGACATTTCACCATATGCTTGATTTCTAAAGTTCAATTTGCATTTTTCCTGAACTAGAGACTAAATTTCATATCTTCTCTACCAACAATTATGTACAACGGCTGTGCAATCAAATCTTCAGCGAAGATTGTGTCTGTCTACGCTATGACCTCATGATCCCCGAATGGAGTGATTGCTCAAATAAGACTGAGGCAGATACGACACCCTGCTAAGTAAATAGTGTGCATTCCAGTTAATAATAGGCCAAAAATATTAAAAAATATCTTGATGATAGGGCGTAAAATTTTGTTGTAATTAAGCTGTGGCTGTTCCTGAACATAAGCTGTTTGGGAATGACAACTTATGTTCGCTTAACAACATGAGCTCGTCACGTTAGTTATATCTAGTAAACTTCACAGTCAAAGGCACAGTTCACTATGAAAATGGCTTATATGACGGCCCTGGGGCTTAAACATTGTACCGTGTGTTCCCTCGGACGAGTTTCAACGGGATTGTAGAAGCTGCAGCGATCACAAGAGAATCCATGTAGGAAGTTCAAAATCTTGTCATGAGCAGTAGCGACAGCGGAAGGCAGTTTTTGACATTTTTGGCCTAATGTAGTCAGTTCTTTGCGCAATTGCAACAACTGGGATCCCGTCCGTATGCCTCATCCGAGTTATTCCGTCCTGGTAATCTCGTCCAACCTCTATTACTCTTACTTTTAAGAACCTCTTTTTCTTGAAATCAGAGAGCTGCTCTCAATTCTTCACTACCGATCCGATGAACTATTCCCAACCTATAACTCCGCTTTTCGACTGACAGGGGTTACTTCAAAATTATCGCGAACTGTGCTTTAAAATATAAAATGCACGTGATCGTGCAGAAACACAGAAGGATGAGTAGGAAAATTCGATTGCTCGAATTCATTCTGAGCCACTCTCATCATCGACCCCAGTTTTGAGCGCGAAAAATGAATCCTCTCTCAGTTTCCTGTTTTCAGTGGGTGGATCCTTCCACAGGAGGAAAGGTATGATACAAAATCGTTCAGAACCCCTCGACTAAAAGTATGATACAAAATCGTTCAGAACCCCTCGACTAAAAGTAAAAAAAGAAGTAATACTCAATCGTTCCTAAAACCCCGGCTTTATCGAGAATGTTTTTTGGACCTATTCAAAAACTCCTGTTCAACTGTTTTCACCAGGCTGGGGAAGATTCGATAGCTTTTAACAGAGCTGTCTCGGTCCCTAAGATGGGTGGAATGAAGACTAGCATGAATTCAGTCTGCAGATTCGGCTAAAAAGGGAGATTCTAAAGGAAAAATCAGTTACTTTAGTAATACACTAATCACTAATGGATGTCAAGGCAGTAAATTACGAGTTCGTACGAAGTGCTGTATATTTTCACGTGTACATGTTTACTCATAGCAGCTAGTGGAACTTAGGTACACTGTGTCTCCGAATGCAATGAATTCACCAGAACCTCGACATTTGAATAAGATTGTACGGGATTGACGATAAAAAGCAATTTCGAATGTTCACCCAACAATCTCATTCAATATGTTCTAACTCATGACTCATGTCTAACGTATGAGAGCCTTGTCGCAGAGCACCTCTTCGTCGTATATTTTATGGTCAAAAGAATACGTACACTCCGATCTGGTGGACTTACGGGTTATGTAGCCTTTTTCCGATATGAGTGATTCGGCATGGTAAGGGACGTGACAGAATGACATTGGAAGATTGACTGATGATGCTGAAACGAATGAGTTGCTGCCTTTGCTGATAAAGCAACTCAGCATCAACTAGCCCAACCTATTGAGTGCCCCGAAAGGCTTAATATAGGTCGTGTAACATAATTATTATATAGAGTATGCCTTACAGGTGTGTATCCACGTCCGCATTTGTGATCCCTATACTCTACTCCATTCCTATACAGTTATAATCAGGGGCGTAGATGGAGCGATATGGATTAGTACATACAATTACCCAGATTGGAGAATTCTCCGACTTAGATAGAACTTCTTACTACGGATATTCAAGGATAGATACGTTAGTATCCGAGAGAATAAATCCAGTTCAATATGATTACTGAGTTGTTTTCTTGAACTTGCAAGAGCTTTGTATACAGGCGTTAGGCTAACGTCTCGGCGGGATCGCCTTCTTCAGAGCCTGAAAGGATCGTCTGTATTTGTAAATATCCGATAACGTTTGAAAACTCCTAAACATTTAACTATTTACCTTCTAATAGAATCAGAATGCAAATAAATGCTTGCTAAACCTGATTACTGATAGAAAATAAAAAACCAACCCTGAAACTCCCTGTAGGCTTGTCTCAGTGCTAGTATTTGATCGACAACATGATCATTAAGGTATCCACTAGAATAGTTCACTCCAATAGTCACTGTTATGCAAAATCGATACGGAAATCCGATGGGTAGTCATCAAAATCGTTACCTGCATACTATACCGACAGATAATAAACGTTGCAGTTACTCTTCATCATGATTTTCACTTCATCACTCCATTTTCGCGTTCAATTTGAATATATGAAAAACCCATTCGACCATTTCCACTAACGGTGTCACCTTTATTCCTGCATTCAAGTCCCTCTTGAATTTGGCTCTATTTTTATTCTCCTATTTCATTCACTAAGTAGCTACGACCATTACGATTTCTTCACTCATCACATCTTGTTTCAACACTTTTTGCTTTGGCTGGTTCTTCGTTTTCAGAAATGAGTCATATTTGCTTTCAAAGAAAACATAATATTCAATATATGGCATTGTTCAACAATTGCTTGACGTTTCTCCAGAAGGCTCAAGCCCATTTAAAAGCCGCTGTAGAAAAGTCTGCGAACTTTCTTTATAAAACGTTCCCATCTATCTACATACATAGCCTTCACGAAGTTTAAAGGTTCACGTTGTTTCGTCTTCTCACTACATCGGGAAGGCAGCGATTCCCATTCACTTTTTTAACGGCTTATTTGTTCAGAGCAATCGTATATTTGGCTGAAACATCTGATTTGTCCCGGATTCGATCTTTGCGCTCCTCCATCATTCCATATATAAAGAGCTGATTGACAATTCGTTCAGCGCACCGTCTGTGATCCGCTTAAATGATGACGCCGTTCAGTTCTATAGTAGTAATGGTATGTTTTTATGCATTCCGATTTGTGAATTCACATGATCATTGACATTTGGAAAAAATAAAAAAAAATCCTAACTAATCTGAGCGCTTTTTCAAGAAGAGCAAATCGAGGCTATTCAACAAAGTTTTGGGTTTCAGAGAAGTGCCCTTGATCAGCTCATACAAACTTAAGTAATCTTCAAGTGTGAGGTCGGACAGTGATTTACAAAATCAGTCTCGGAGCCCAGAAATCCCTTTCGAGCTAGAGCTTTCAGTTGCCATTCTTGACAGGAACTTGGGTATAATTTGAAATGATGACAAACCGTGAGAGGAATAACCAACGTTCGGTATCCCAGCCTATCATACCTTTTACAAGGGAACGCTCCATTTCATAACTCTTCGAACAGCTATGAATGTTCACTGATAGGAAGGTCTTCACATGACCCTGCTATTATTGGTCAACAAACCTCAGCCATCATCGAGATTCCAAACCACTGTTACTATGCACTTCATGATCCATACCTCCATAGCTACTTGCAAGTTGCTCCTGTTCTTAAGCCACCTCTGGTTCCAGTAAACACTATTCAAGGAAATGTAAGGGTTGGAGAGCGCGGTGCCTGAATGGCACAAGCATGGGATATAGTCCCGTATGATGTCAAAGTGTTGTCCATAACTCGCTAAACTTGTGAAACCTTAAAATTGGTACTGCGGCGATCCAACAGCAGTCAGCAGAACATCAAGTCGAAACAAATTATTGGGAGAATTGCACCTCTCCCTTCCAGTCACAAATTAGAAATTCCCTACTAGTAGTAAGGGAAGCTTTTGAACATTCAGCTTTCAGCTACTAAAATTCTTTCAGATTTTCTTCCTTTCCATTTCCTGTTCTGCATATGTTCGGAAGCGAGCAGGTCAGCAGCTGGATTTTAATGGTTTAAATGAAAATCTTAACTGACAGAATTTCAGTCTGTGCAAATACGGAAATGTCAGACACGATTCGTAGCATGATCCTCAACTTCCACAACGACGCTCGTCGTCGTGTAGCGAAGGGGCAGGAGCCGAATAATGTAGGCATGCTCAATCCAGCTAAGAACATGTACAAGCTGGTGAGTCGTATATACGTAGCTATGAAAAATGCCGGTAAACGAAATAGGAGGAGGAGAGCAAGTGAGTGTGAGTAGATTGCCGAAAACAGCCATCACCCCCAAAGCTCAAAGAGGTCAATTGCAAAAAAAAAGAACTCATTTCCCCACAAGGGAGAGAAATGTCTTCTAATATCCCCAGGTAGCACTCAAATAGCCCTGAACAGTCTTACACTCTCTTTTCCTTCAAATACAATTCCTGTCTCACAACTTTCATGAAGATATTTTTCGATCATTTCATCTTAAGTGGCCCTGAATGCATAAACACTCGTATCCACTTCTACCCTCACTGCTTTTATCCTCTCAGACGATCCGTTACCCATTGACCGTTCCCAGTAGGATGGGCAGTTTGATTGACCTGAGCGAGTATCATCCGAGATTGGATAGTGCTACTACATCACCTCGCCAACTTCTATGTATATCAACTTATTTGCGAACAGCAATCTATCGTTCACGTACTCTATCCCTGTAATATATTTGTTTTTGTTCATTCCTTTTTTAAACTAATTCCGTCCCACTACATTCCGTCTTATTTACACAATTACTGTACTAACGCTCATTAAAAACAGGGATATGATTCAAGCACGAACTCACTCGTGAACTCAAAGCGCTCGGACAAGACCAAGCGTCATGGCAATGCGTTATCACGGCCATTTCTAGAAGATATTTTTGCTGCACATTTTTCGGCCTCCTTCGCACAATTCAATCTATCCAATCTTTTTCTATGCTCTATGATTTAACTTAAAAAGGAAGGCTACTTGGGAGAAATCAGTCAGTTTACGCGTACGAGGCTAATGATTGTCAACACGATCGGCACGTCTATTAGCATGCGAGTATGATAGAGCTGAAGTATGGCAGGCAAGTATGGCTGCGCTACTTCATTTTTTACTTTTTTTGCAGGAATGGGACTGCACGATGGAACAGCAGGCACAGGATGCAATTGCCAATTGCCCGAGTGGTTTGGGATCATGGTCCAACATGGCCCAGAACATGATGACGTAAGTTGTTGTTCCGTTGGAAAACATTTTCTGTATTCTGAAGAGACCCTGTTCGACTCCAACGGAATGCGGTATAAAATGAGTTGTAAAAATGGAGTCTTGACCGGGTTGGCATAACTTCATTCCACTAAGCTTCGGACCCTGTCGCCTTTGTTAGGGCCTTGGATGGTGCTGTGTTAGGGGTCTACCAACTAAGACTCTCGCGAAGGCGTCATGACCAAACTGTTGAAGGCATCATGGAAGAATGTATTTGTACCATCTTGGTCGAGGCCTCAGAATTACATCTTAGACCCCTCCTTCATTCGAATTGAGTACATAAATGAATATTTCAGCTGGACAGGCTCGGGAGGATTTTCGAATCCCAGTGTACAAGTGAATTCGAGTTTGAACAGTTGGTGGGGATCAGCGAAAAAGAACGGTGTAACTGACGCAGACAACAAATACACCACTTCAGCTCTCTACCATTTTGCTAATGTAAGTTTCCGATTAATTCAGCTGCTCCAAGCCTTTGACTAACTCTTTCCAATAGTTTTGATTGAAATTTGAGAGCATTTTGGTGCTGATCTCGAAAAATCCATCCCTTGCCTTACAGATGGTATTCTCTGAAACAAGCAAGATCGGATGTGCTTACAAAGTATGCGACGGCACAAAGCTGACCTTCACTTGCCTCTACAACGGACTGTCAGTTTTATGCTTTATTACAGATAATTACAGGTTTTTTGACGCATATAAAACCAAGGTGCATGGCTCATACAAGGGAATCTTACCAACAAAAATTTGTCATTTTTTAAAAGCCATTGAACAAAGTAGTCCCTCCCTAGTAGAGATAGCCAACGACTCACCAAGCGAACCGATGAGAAAGGAGCAACGCTGTAATTTTCATCCTACGGTTTGCACCAGAAACGAAAATTATGAAAACTTAGGAATTATGAAAACAGCTTAACTCTGCTGTAATTGAGTTGCTCAGATGTGCCTGCAGGCTTCACGCGCCTGGACTGCATCAGAAACAAAGACTTCAGGCGCCCCTGTAAGCGGCCTCTGTTCAGTTGAGGACGATAGAGCAGCGTCTGCGATAGCCCAAAGGCGTACTAAATAGGACTCAGAATCATCCGATAAGGAAGTCAATTTAATTAGAGGCTCAAGGAAATGAAAACGAGGAGGCCAAAGAGGAGGTGGCGAAACGTGATTAAGAAGGACCTCGACGGAATGAAGGTGAAAACAGAAATGCTGTAGATAGATTCAAATAGATATGGCAACAAGAGGCTAAGGAGGCACGGGAAAGGGAGCAGAAGTAAAAGCTATGATCCAGGCAGATTTCGCAACTAGATGGATTCATTTCGTCAGAGGAAAAAAGCTTAGGCACTTCCGCATTTTTTCTTTCTCAGAAAATATAGGTCCTTCGAAACTATTCCACTGGTCCTGCGCTGTATACCATTTAATGGCTCACCACCATCTTCGAGAAATTCTAGAATACATTCTCTCACATGTTTGAAGAAGAGACCCAGTGCATTGTGCCACGTTATTTTGGAAAGGAATGGTGCCCTTGTGCCGCTCAGAATTATTCAGATCTGCATTTCGCCTAGAGAGACATGACAGCATAGCCTTTGCTCTGTTCAGTACTTTGTCTCCTGCACATAATTGCGGCTAGTCCCCCTAAGCTACTCAAGCACGACTATCTAAGACTTATTCCGTGACGTTCGCTTAGCCCTGCTTTGAACAATGTCGTCCGGCATGATTACATCTTGGATCTGCTGTTCCTGACTGTCCCACCAACTTTCCACTGCAACAAAGCCACCAACTTGCATGTGTTCTTGGTCCACCAGCCTGCTCTAGAATGTCGCCGCAACCAGCGGATGGCTGATTATCGAATGAATTTATTTTTCTAGTAGAAATGATTGTACAGTTCTCTGCGGGGATACCATTATTTTTGTATAATCCTGTCCCCCATTGAGTGTGAGGTCTCGATTAGACCTTGGATCTTCGAATTCATGATCATTTTTACAGTGGATACTATACCAATGTACCGATGTGGGAAACCGGCACTGCTTGTTCAACTGGCTCTGACTGTACCACCTTCTCGAACTCAGGTTGTGACAACGGCTTGTGCATAAAAGGAGCACCAGTTCCAGGTATGTTCAGTATTTTGAAGGGCGATATAATTCGGGCCGATCGGCTTATCCGTGGCTCTTCACAAAATCAAGTTTTTACTAGAAATTGTAAAAGATGTAATCTGTACATTGACCTGGATAAAGGCTTAAGCTGCGTAGCAGTAAGTGTACTTGTCATTGTTTTACGACCGTATCCCACTACGTTGAAAGAAAGTTTTGTTGCGCCGGTTCAGTTTCCCTCCTTTCATTATCAGGATATTTTTACAGAAACGAATAACAAATGCTCGTCTAACTCCGGGATGACCGACTCAGTGAGGCAAAAGTTCCTCGACTTGCATAATCAATACAGGTAAGGTTCTTAACATCTTTTCGAGTTTAAGCCGCTTTAGTAAGGTTCTTAACATCTTTTCGAGTTCAAGCCGCTTTAGGCGTTTTCTTCGCCACTTTTCTAAGGTATCACTCCCAATATTCGTCTGAATCTAGGCACCCCAAAGTTTTTGTGAGTTCTGCCTCCAACAGTGCTACCGTGCCAATGACAACTTTGAGAAAGTATGGTCTCCTTCGTAGAGCTTATCCAAGTTTAAATGAAGTGCTAAATATTCTCCTTCATTTAGCCACAGGTCACGGACACAGTGAATATTTAACCAAAGGGGGTTTCTAAGATAAAGGTTGGCAGGCAAGAACCAAATTATAGTTTAGAAATGCGAAATGAGGAGTATTCTGAGCATATTCTGCGCTCTTATCATCTCACGATGACATTCACCCCTGCAGACTCAGTCTACGGAGGCAGTATTTGAAGAATAGAAAACATAGGATTGCGGTTCACGTAGGACCTCTGAACGTTAATATACTGATGACTGATATGATGATAGTGGGACCTGATAACTGATACCACGACCAGATTGCTTTATACTAAAGGGATAGCTTCTTATGGACTTTTATATGGACTCTGAAAAGGGAAAAATAAAAGCTGTCCTGTCTAATTTTGATGGTTTTCTTTCAGATCGAGTCTTGCGCGCGGCCTTGAGCCTGATGCGCTTGGAGGGAACGCACCCAAAGCAGCCAAGATGTTGAAGATGGTCAGTGCTCTCAAGTGTCATGTATTCTTTATTGTGGGTCCGTAGAAAGGGAAGGGGACAGAGTGAAGACTGAGATTGAGGACATTCAAGTGAACGAGTTTCGCTCTGTCTCTTGCAGCGACGATAAGGTTCATGGGTATAACTAAACAATAGTGTTTCTGAGGCCGTTTCTAGAGTTAATATCAAAGTGATTCTGGTATTTTTTCAAATTCACAAGAGGACGAAGGTATTTCTATGTTGAGAGCAATGTGGGGTAACACCGATTTCACTGGCTGATTTCGCTATATTCCATTATCAAGCTCTGATGTTCTGATAGTGGGATGTACAAAAAGTTGCCTTTTAAGGTATATGACTGCTCAGTAGAAGCGTCTGCTTTGAAGCACGCCTCGAAATGTGTTTACCAGCATTCCGCCAACACCGAGCGACCGGGACTAGGAGAAAACCTATACAAGACATCTGCATTGAATTTCGATAAGGTCAAAGCTGCAGCACAGGTAAGGCCTTTGTTTGAGAGAGAGCAGATCCGATTCGCTTGGAACTTCTTTCTGGTATAGGGATGAAGAGAAAATCTGGTCCTTCACCGTTACTTTGTGGCGTAATGGTAATCGGATGACGAGGGATTAGCCAGACTTCGTTACCTCCATAGAGTACCGACTTCGATCGGTCCTTATCACTGCACTTATCACTCATTTTTTGTTAACCTACTTTACGATCCAGTCAAGCCCTATGAAAATGGCAGAATATCAAGGTCACATTGTATCTACCGAGAAGGTTAGAAATGATGAGCCTGAGGTCATTCCCTATCCTTTATCGGCTTGTATCATTTTCTATAATCCGTTATCTGCGATGCATTCACACCCTATATCACAGACAAAAGTATAATAGCAGTGCTTCACTGTCTACAAAAGGGAGAGATGGTGTAGTGGCAAACGTTATAAGTCCTGTTATCACATGCCTACGATTCCATCTTGCTCTACATTGCTCATTAAAGTGCCAAGGTTCACGAAGGGCTGACGGATTCTGTAGCCCTTACCTTTTAATGCTCTTCAATCAGTTTCTTCCTAATATTATCATCCCTTACCACCTACCACTGCTCCTGTATCTCTTCCAAATTTAGACCCTGCAGGGCCGGTGGAACAAGAATCATGCATTTCCAGTCAAGCACACGCACTAGGCGAGTTATTCGAAGTAGAATTGTTATACTGTTAACAATTCAGTCATCTCAAATGTGGTGGAGCGAACTAAAAGAGTATGGTGTTGGTCCGTCGAACAACCTAACGCTAGCTCTGTGGAACCGCCCGGATACTCAAATTGGACACTATACCCAAGTGAGACTTGTGTTCAGTTATTCCCTCACTCACAGTACAACATCCTAACAATTCTCAGATGGCTTGGGAAACTTCCTATCGGCTTGGATGTGCTGTCGCTCACTGCTCATCCTTTACTTATGCTGTCTGCCAATACGGACCTGCGTAAGTTTTAAAATTTATGCAGTAGTTTTGCTCGAATCAATCTTTCCGTTTCGTATGAAATCGTAATGCTGACTATAGCAATGATATTGAGCTCAGCCTGCCAACCCCTAGTTTTTCACAAGATAGGGCTGGGACACTTTTCGCTCATAAATCTCTTCATTGTGCATGCACAATTTCAACGCAGTTACATTCCACGCTTTTTTTCGGAGGCAATCTTACGCCATCTATGCAAAGTTACCTACATAGATGGGAAACTTTCGGAATGAAAATCTGTCCTTTAGATCATTTGTGGTTTCTTACAGTGTAAAGTAAAAAGGAGAAGTATTTCAGGGGCAACTATCTGAATAGCCTGATATACACCATAGGAAACCCTTGCACGTCGGATGCAGGGTGCCCCGGATCCTACACATGCAATATCTCAGAAGGTCTCTGTAATGTCGTGTAAATAAATTTACTGTAGAAATAAATTGATAGCATTCATTGGAGTTCGTTACACTGTGATTACTTTTTCAAATTTCCTTTGTGATAGAAGCCGGTTGCTGAATGTCAATGTCGCTGAGTTCTTCCGGATGTTCCGAACACAATACCACCTCGCTGTGCCACACTGATCGAAAATCATGGTATTCGCCCAAGTTCCTATACTTTTCATCATTCATTATGTTTTAGTTTGTCATTGACTGTAATTTTTTTC